ATTCGCATCCTTCCAGGGTTGAAGTCGGCCCCTCATCTTGGCCAGGTCCTCTTGCTTCTTGGCCAGGTCCTCCTGCTACTTGGCCCACCTAGGCTTCCAGCCTCCCCCTCTCTCTCTCTCTCTAGAATTTTCACTTTTCACTCAGTTATAATTTTTTCACCCCCCTCAGTCTCTATTTATAGGCATCCTGGGGTCCCCGGAACGACTTGTACTGATTTAGGAATGGCCCGTTCCGGAGCCTTCAAACGTGGGCAAATTTCTCAACTGGAACGGCCCGTTCCAAAACCCAGCAGAACGGCCCGTTCTGATTTCAGAACGGCCCGTTCTCTTTTCCAGAACGGCCGTTCCAGGCCCCGTTTTGGGTCTTTAAAAACAAGCATATTCCCTCTTTTGGAACGGCCCGTTCTGCATTTGGAACGGCCCGTTCTGACACCCAGGAATACCTTTATTCCTTTATTAAAATTACGAAAATGTCATTAATAATTACGAAAATGCCATCAATAAAAAACTGGGTGTTACACATAAGCTTCAAGGGAATTCTGCAACTCCTCTATCTTCATTGTCTCAAGATCTTTAGATTCCTTGATTGGTATCACAATATGATCAAAAAAATGATTCAAAGTTCTTAGCACCTTGTCTACAATCTATTGGTATGTAAACTTCTCATTACAGGATTTCATCAAATTAATGAGGGCTTGAATTCGATTGAAATAATCAGTTACGAATTCCTGATCATTAATAAACAACAACTCATATTGCCTTCAAAAAGATTAAAGCTTCACCTTCTTCACTTTACCAGCACCTCCATAACTTTTATGCAGAATATCTTAAGCTTTTTTTGCTGAACTAGTTGAACAAATTTTCTCAAAATTTGCAGAATCCACACATTGAAGGATCAATAAAAGATCTTTATAGTCTTTTTTCTTTGACTCTCTATAAGTTGCATGTTGTGCCTTTATAAGACCTTCTTCCAGTTCTTGAATCCCATTTTTCACAATTTTAGCACCTCTTGGAAACTAAAAATGACACCCATCTTTACACACCATTGCTCGAAGTGTTTTCCATAAAAAAAAAAGTTGGCAAGGAAAGGCCCACAAAAACTAGTCACGATTCACTCTTCCAACACCACGCAAGAAAGTAGAAGTATCCACATAAGGATAATAAAAACTCACACAGGAAAGAGTTTCCTTCATAGTAGAACACTTTGCAACCTAGTGGGTTTCACACACACAACCATAGGTCCCTCATAATCAACAAGCTCTTGATACCAATTTGTTGGGATATGACATGCACAGAAATGCACACACTCATAATAAAGAATAGAGAGTGAAAATTGAGTAAATAAAAACTTTTTTTCACACTTGTGTATTACATGTGACTACTCATCCCTCATTATTAATGAATAGTAATACAAACACGTATTTAAAGAGTATATTAACAAATCATACAAATATATAACATTGACAAACTAAAGTATACAAATGATACTTACAAACTATACCATTAGACTATACCATCAAACAATATCATTAGACTATATGTATAGATTAAACCTTCAGATTATATATAGAGATGAAACATGTATAAAATAAACTTTCAAACTATATGTACAAACTAAACAAGTAGACTATACATACAGATTATACATGAAAAATATACATTTGAATTACAATACTCAACATCAAGTATGCCTTCTTCAATGGGGATTTGTTTTAAGAAGTGTATACAAACTTACTTCTTGGATACACCATTAAGGGAAGGATGGAGTGTGTAAACTACACATATCATTATACAACTTATGACAAATTTATGCAATAATTATTCAACTTGGTTTTCAGTAGTACATGACTGATTAATTATTTTTTTTCACATGGGATCCAATGACTATTGTCTTACTTTTGGTTTACATGGATGATATCATATATAATTACTAGTCCTAATTAATCAGTATGATCAACTAAATTTACAAGGACCAAAATTTAAAGCAACTCATTTTACATAGAATAAAAATATATTTAAACCATTTTTGTAAGACTTTATAATGTCTTTAACCATTTTCAACTTGAATTGAATTTGATTTTCCTCCCTAAATTGAGTGGGAACCTTATGTTTTTTTATCCCCTAGGGTGTATGCATCAACCGATAGATTTGGTTTATTTCATCTAGCTAATGGGATTCTATCATTTATTCTACATTGTGTGATCAATTAATTTGCAATTCTACAACAATTGGATGATTTTTAAGAAACTCCACCAACATCAGCATTCAACACCATTAGAAAGAAATTTCAACTAATATTAAGAAAACCTGACAAAGAAGAAAATTAACATTATTAAGTACTAGTAAGGGAAGAGATAGTACTTTGTGCCTCTTAATTATTTTTAAAAAATAAAAATAAAAACCTCTTAATTATTTATAATAATAATAATAATAATAATGAAGTGGGTAGTAAATAGTTATTGAGGAGTGTGAGGAGGTTAGCGATTAATTGGAGTTTATAAAAGATAAAAATAAAATAAGAGAAGAAATGATGAAATGAATAATTATCAAAGAGTGTGAGAAAATTGCTAATCATGTAAAAAAAAAACAGTAAAAACTCTTAATTTTTCTAATTTTTTAAAGCATTTTCTAATTTGAAGGTCTAATTGAAAGTGAAAAAAAAAAACGATTATAAAGATGGAGTATGCTTTTATATATTTATATAGATGATGAATGCGTTTTCAGCATATCTTATCTATTATAGGTAAACTTCTGCTTCGAAAATCCTAACTATATTGATTAGCGTTAACCACTTCCATTCCACACAGGAGGAGGTTTTGTTGAGCACTAGTAAACCATTTCACCAATGAATATAATATTTAAACCCATATCTTTACAGTATTGGTTCACCTAAAGTCCTTGTTATGGCCAAAAGATAATTCAAATTTGTGCATATTTAAGTTTCTTTTTAAAAGACAAAACTCTACATATTTTCCCATATTTAAATTGCTAATTACGTTTAATATTTGGAGAACCCATTCATGCCAATTTAAATCAAAGTATAGTTGGTAAAGTTAGCAAAATGGGTTAGAGATAAAAAAATGAGTTATGAATGGCATTAATTTAAAGAAGTTGACTCTACAGAAATATCTTTGGACTTTTTCTCTAAGTATAATTGTATATACGTGCAAAGATGATCGAATAGAATATTTGGAGTGGGTGTTGACGTAACCCCGTTTAGACTTGTGATCCCCCACTTTGCAGTCTCAGCATATTGTCGTGTTCCGCTTCAATCATCACTGTTAGTGTTCCATTGGCAAGAAACTTGACTCGCAAGTGCAATCAATTTCCTTCATCTACGGAGGAGTCACACTCTCAAATCGACGACACCCTCTGATCCTGACGCGGACCACACTGTTCTTTGCATCATCTGGGCCGTTCACTACCTCGCAGCATTGCCTACGTGGCGCCTGATTATTCACCCACATTGTAATTTGTCAGATGCCAATTAAATATTGGGATATATGAAGAATAATAATATTAACAACACATAATTATTTTAATAGTTGAAATTAATGTAAATTTCTTTAAACAATAACAGAAACTCATTAAATTCAGGTGTAATCCACATTATTATCATAAAATATTTTCATATTGTAAGTAATTACAATATACAATCAATTGAATTTTATACTAATTACCTTACGAAACATTTGGTGAAAGGAATTTTTTTTTTCATATTTGAGAGTAATTTTTTAGATATTATAAATTTTGATAATCATAATTTTTAATAATGATGAAATATTTATGGTTAGTCATAAGTATTTTTAAAAATATTATTTAAAAATAAAATATTATCACTACATTAATGAAACAAATTAAAATAACATAATACTTTTAACACTTTTTAATTAAGGAAATGTAGATTCTTACTTCTAGAAAAATTGTACAAAAAATATTCTCAAAAAAATTATGTTTTCTAAGAATGTTATTTTTTAGATGATAAAACAAACTAAAAAACTAACATTTTCAACTTCAGAATTCTAAGAAAAAGTAAAAATATTTTGAGTGTCAAACACTCCATAAAAGTTTAATTGATCAAGAAAAGCTAGGTTATTTTACCAACCTCCTTAGTATTAGTTGAAATTTCCTTAAAAAATTTCAACTTACAAACTCTTTCCATCCCTTAATAAGTTTTCTAAATTATTTAATGGTTACTAAGAAAAGTTAATAAATAGACAAAGAAAAAATTAATAAATTGATGAAAGAGAATTGTAATATTACAAAATTAACTTTTTGACTTGTCTTCTTTGTTAGAAATAATGTAATACAAAAATCACTTTCTTCTTAATATCATTAGGGTTACAAAGAGAAGAAAAACAAACAATTAATACTGCATTAAAAAATTAAGTTGATATATATATATATATATATATATATATATATTGCATATTCATATGTTTAAATTAACCATAGCACTTTTTCAACTTATTAATTATTTAATTAGAAGATATTTACTTATAATATTATAGTTTAAAAACCACATTTTTTTATTAATTTTTTTTTATAAAAAAATTGACATAAAGATCAAAGAAACTGCATCAGGATATTTCCCTTAAACAGACAGACAGGTCATAGACTTGTATCTTTTTTAATCAAATCGGTTAAATTGAAAACTAGAACTGTAGTAATCAACCCAACCAACAAATCAAGAAACAAAATCATAGCCAAAATGAAGAATCTAGAATTCGAAGAAAGAAAACTGGCCAAAGAAGCAAACAAATCACATCAATATCAATTAAAAAAATTAATAATAAGCTTTAATTAAAACAGATCATGCTGGCTCGTACCATTTACGAAGTTAAAACACGCAACAAGAAAAGTCCCGTACCTTTTTCCACAAGTCCTTCGAAAAGCGAGGCGCAGAAACGTCGACGTATTGAACGGCCAAAGCCCGCGCGTACTCACCACGCGAACACTCTTTCCCGGAAACGTCGAAATGTCTTTTGTAACTAGACCGGGTCTTGTCCCCGCCCGCGCTGCGAACCCGGTCCAGCATATACCCGAGTGGCTTCTCACACGTGTCGCCACTTACGGGTCGGGTATTGAACGTAAACGGGCCATCGCTCGAGCTCCGCCACGTGTCGAAAGTCCTGAACGCCATTTCGAGATCCTTGGCCGTGGGAAGAGAAGGGTAAAGCTCCACAGCGTAGCCCCACGAAACGGAAACGGACCAGTTCCGACGGAGGTCGTAACAGAAACTCTTCTGTAAGGCCCGACCCGGGTCCAGTTCGTACGCCGTTATCAATTTCTTAACGGCGTCAACGCGGTCCATGTTTGGGAATATTGGGTCCACGTAGTCCAAGTGGTGCAACGACACTAACGGTGCCACCGGATGTGCCGCTAACAATCCGTATGGGTTCCCATGTATATCAACCTGTAATGTTAATATAAAAATTAGTTAATTAAAAATCATGTGAATTATTGTTGCGATGCCCAACAAATTTTCACATTATTCAAATAATAAGATAAACATGAATTTATACACATGATAATTATCTTAATCAATTGAGAAATTTTTTTTTATAATATTAAAAACAAAATCAAACAATATTTTTTAATATAAAAACATATACATGTATGTGATAATTTTTATGGATAATAAATATTTTTTAAATTTTGTTAATATATGGAAGTATTGAATGCATTTTATATTTTTTAAAATATCAAATACGTTTATTTTTTTATTTAATACACACTCAACTCATCATAAAACATATGTAGTATAATTTAAACCATACAATAATTTCTTAAAATATTTTTCACTATGCATTAAAATAATTTGCATATCAGCCATGATAAAGGCAATGTGTGCGGCTCGAATTGTTCATCATAAGAGTAAACTCAATTAATTTCCATAATATGCAACTCGAAAAAAGAGAGAGAGAAAACATACTTGATGAAACCCTGGTTCTTTGGTGACCTGAACCCCAATCTCACTGATACAACCCTGAATTTTCTGATCGGAACCATAAAACTCCGCGTAGCGATCAATGCAACCGTCCAAAATCCTCACCAACTCCTTCGCCAAAGGGTAACTTATAGCGAACCCGCCACCGCCAAACGCCATGGTGTAAAAGTGTATCACATTCTGCTCCACGCTCTCGGAGTTCCCTCCAACGTAGTACATTTCATTGTGATCATATTTCGACAACACCGTGACGAGGTTGTCTAGGAAAAACACGGTGTCATCATCGCCCAAAACGAACCACCTCACGTTTTCCATCCCCAGCTCGAAGCTCTCCTTCACGATCCGCGCTAAGCGGATTGCGGACCGCGAGCCGTACGAGCAAGTGTACTTGAACGCCGACGTGTCGGCCGAGACCCGGTACGGCGGCGAAGTCGCCGGCCAGGTCTCGTTTTCTGGTAGCTCCGTGTCCAACCAGACATGGCCTCTGGTGACGCCGCGGCGCCACCAGAGCTCAGAGTAGTGGCGCCGCGTCTGCCATGAGGACGCGGAGCCGCCAATACCAAAGAGAAGGTGGGAGATGTTGGTGGGGTGGTGTTTTTGCTCGGTTGTTTTGTGTTGGATCATGTATTTGAAGGATATGTTGTTGTTGTTGTTGTTGCGGTGGAGGGGTTGGTGGTAGGAGAGGGTGAGGTAGAAGAAGAGGGTGATGAGGAAGAACGTTGAAACGGCGAGACCAGCTTTGAGGAACATGAGGAGGAGTTCGCTGTATTTGATGTTGTGGTGACGAAGGGTTTTCCATGCCTTGTCGAGAGGGTCTCGAACTGAGTCTACGGCAGAAGACATTTGAAATGGAGTTGAAAGTTTGGAGCTATATGGAAGTAAAGAGAGAGAGAGAGAGATATATAATGTGTCTCTGTTGTTGAAGGTAGGGGTGTGTAGTGGAGCCAGTAGTTAGTGCCTCGAACGTTTTCGTTTATTCCTTTTATTTAGGTTACAACGAATGAGAGATGGGTGCCTACTCCTCCTATGATGAAGCTTTTGGATACGGTGTTTATGTGTAATGAAATCTCTATCTTTAATTATAAATAAGAGAGAATATTTAAATAATAAAAAAAGAAGATGTCGAATTATAAAAGTAGAGATTTTCATAATCCAGATGAAATCTCACTTGATAAAATCTACTCTCCTTATAGAAGTGGAAGAATGTTACCAATTGATCAATTAATATTTAGAAAGTCAAATGATAAAAAGAGACATATTTGTGCCAAATTAGTTAAATCTTAATTTCTATTCCATTATCGTTCCTATAATTGTAACATGTAACTTTGTAATTAAGTAGTACTTATTTTCGTTCTCGGAATATTCCTATATTGTTAATTATTTTTACAATTTCCTTTCATGGCTTGTTGAATATTTTTTTCTCCATTCAAACCTCTTTGGTTATTTTTAAAAGAACTTCTTTTTTATATTATTTTCTTAACTCAAATTGTCTTATTATGTCTTTACCAAAAGAAAAATATTTTATATATTTTTTAAAATAAATTTTTTAAATCATCTTCTATATATTAAATATGAATAGTTATTATAATTGTTTATAAATTAAATTTTAATATTTTAAAATAAATTATCAATAAATAAAAATAATATTATATTATAAATAAAAAATTATTTATCATAAATCTAAAATATGATTTATAAGTTTAAAATATCTATTTCTACAAATTTTAAATATAATTTATATATTTTAAATATGATATTTATTTATAGGGGAATGCTAATATACTTCCACCTATTTTTTAATGGGAGTATGTTAGCAACATATACCAAAATTTTAGGATAAAAAAATCACTCATTTCTTTTGATTTGGTTAATTCGTACAAAGGATATTATAGTAATTTAATTTAATTTTAAATAGGAATAAAATATTTTCTCTCTTATTAATTTCATTCTCCAATTCATTTATTTTTTCTATTAATTAATTTTTATTTGTTTAGAGAGAGAGGGGGGAAATGAGAGAGAAATGAGTTAAAGAAGAAATTTAATAGGAGAGAGATAAATAAGTTAGAGAAAGAATTTAATAGGAAGGAGAGAAATAAATAAGTTAGAAAAAGAATTTAATAGGAAAGAGAAATGAGTTGGAGAAGAAATTTAATAGGAGAGAGAAATGACTTGGAGAATGAAGTTAATAAGAGAGAGAAAATATTTTATTTTCATTTAAAATTAAATTAAATTACTATAATATCCTTTATACAAATTAACCAAATCAAAAGAAATGAGTAATTTTTTTGTCCTAAAATTTTGGTGTAAGTTGCTAACATACTCCCACTAAAAAATAGGTGGGAGTATATAGAAGTGGAAGAATGTTACCAATTGATCAATTAATATTTAGAAAGTCAAATGATAAAAAGAGACATATTTGTGCCAAATTAGTTAAATCTTAATTTCTATTCCATTATCGTTCCTATAATTGTAACATGTAACTTTGTAATTAAGTAGTACTTATTTTCGTTCTCGGAATATTCCTATATTGTTAATTATTTTTACAATTTCCTTTCATGGCTTGTTGAATATTTTTTTCTCCATTCAAACCTCTTTGGTTATTTTTAAAAGAACTTCTTTTTTATATTATTTTCTTAACTCAAATTGTCTTATTATGTCTTTACCAAAAGAAAAATATTTTATATATTTTTTAAAATAAATTTTTTAAATCATCTTCTATATATTAAATATGAATAGTTATTATAATTGTTTATAAATTAAATTTTAATATTTTAAAATAAATTATCAATAAATAAAAATAATATTATATTATAAATAAAAAATTATTTATCATAAATCTAAAATATGATTTATAAGTTTAAAATATCTATTTCTACAAATTTTAAATATAATTTATATATTTTAAATATGATATTTATTTATAGGGGAATGCTAATATACTTCCACCTATTTTTTAATGGGAGTATGTTAGCAACATATACCAAAATTTTAGGATAAAAAAATCACTCATTTCTTTTGATTTGGTTAATTCGTACAAAGGATATTATAGTAATTTAATTTAATTTTAAATAGGAATAAAATATTTTCTCTCTTATTAATTTCATTCTCCAATTCATTTATTTTTTCTATTAATTAATTTTTATTTGTTTAGAGAGAGAGGGGGGAAATGAGAGAGAAATGAGTTAAAGAAGAAATTTAATAGGAGAGAGATAAATAAGTTAGAGAAAGAATTTAATAGGAAGGAGAGAAATAAATAAGTTAGAAAAAGAATTTAATAGGAAAGAGAAATGAGTTGGAGAAGAAATTTAATAGGAGAGAGAAATGACTTGGAGAATGAAGTTAATAAGAGAGAGAAAATATTTTATTTTCATTTAAAATTAAATTAAATTACTATAATATCCTTTATACAAATTAACCAAATCAAAAGAAATGAGTAATTTTTTTGTCCTAAAATTTTGGTGTAAGTTGCTAACATACTCCCACTAAAAAATAGGTGGGAGTATATTAGCATTCCCCTTATTTATATATATAATTTATTATAAATTTTAGTTATATATAATAAATATTTAGTTTGCACATTAAATAATTTAACATACTAGTTTTTTATTTAAATTTAAATCATTATTATAAAGAGTGTTAATAGACTTGACTCAAAGTCAACAATTTCATTAATTGACCCGAAAATTAGTTACATATGTGAAAATAATATATATATATATATATATATATAGGGG